TAAAGATTTGGTAAAAATTTCAGATCTCAAGAAAACAGGTATGGCATGTGTTGGGGTGCTGAGTCTTGGCAGTTTACCATGGGGATCAGAACTTGGGTTCTGTTTGGAATGACATAGGTCTATTGGTCCAAACAGACCTGGTCTCTGGAACCAATTCTAAACGGCCCATGTGCCATTTAATCATGACACTATCAGTTTGGTATGACTATACCTAGTTTAGGAATGAGTAGATTAAGACATTGAGCTTCCTAAACTAAGCTTCCGAAAATAAGGATTATCAGCCTATTCATTCTGGTAAGTGGGAAAAAGAAAGATCTTGCACACAGGGAAGTTCAGCTTGCTTGGGGTTACCCTGCCAGCTCAGGAGGTGGCTCCAGACCTGGAATTAGGATGAGGGGGACCCTGAGACTGAGGCTCCTGTCATGCTACCCCTGGCCAGCACCCACCTTGTGCCAGGCTCTGAGTGACAGTCTGAGGACTTCTTGCTGACCCCTACTTCCTGGAAGAGGTTGCCTGGAGCAACCTGTGCCCTGCCTACAGCCATAAGGATATGGGATGACCGTGGTATTTTCCCTCCTCACTACGAACACGTCCTGGCCGGCCTGCGGCAGGGTGAGGTAGCGGTGGATGAAGTAGACGATCAGGGGGCTCTTCCCGTAGACGTTGAAGAGGTTTGCCGACGGCTCGGGCTTTCTGCAGGCAGGGTGAGACTGAGGGGGAAAGAAAGAGGGAAAGATAAAGCACATATTAAGAAACGTGAAGGCACTCCCATCCTCCCATCCCATAACTCCAGCTTTAAAATGCAGCCTAAGGAAATAACCAAGGTAAAGAGAAAAGCTTCAGGCACTAAGATGTCTGCTGCAGAGATGGTCACCAAACACAGCAGACATTTCAGAATAGGCTAAATGTTTAAGGAGAAGAAGGTGATATCTCCACCCAAAGGAGCAGCAGATCACTTTTAAAATGCTTATGGGGCTGGGACCTAGGTTAAGGTAGAGTGCGTGCCTAGCATGTGAGGTTCTGGGTTGCATCCTAAGCACTATAAAAAGGAAAAAAAAGTTTATGAAGAGTTGATAACCTAAAGTATTTCAGGTATAACAGTAAAATTTTTAAAACTGAGATGCAAAACAGGATAATAAATATAATTATAATAAATATAATTATATTAAATAAATCAGTAAAAATAAAAGATGGATGATACTGGAAAGATATTTACCAAAATGTGAACAATTCATTTAGCAAATATTTATTGACTGACTGCTAGGTCTGCACATCACTTTAGGCACTGGAGACTCAGCAGAGAACAAGACAAATCCTAGGAAAACAAAGGCTAAACCAACAACTAGAAGGACAACATGGCTGTGCCCAAGAGCAACAAGGAGGTCAAGGGGTGAAGAGTGGAGGCTGAGGGCTAGGGATATGGCTCAAGCGGTAGCGCGCTCGCCTGGCATGCGTGCGGCCCGGGTTCGATCCTCAGCACCACATACCAACAAAGATGTTGTGTCCGCCGAAGACTAACTAAGTAACTAAATAAGTAAATAAATATAAAAAAAAAAAGAGTGGAGGCTGAGGGGACCACTTTCCAGGGGGTGTCAGGGAGGGCTGCCTCCGGGTCAGATCCTAGCAGGGAGCTGGGGGAGGATCCTGGACACTCTAGGCAGAGAACCCTGAAGCGGATGTGAGCCAGGTGCAGCTGTGCAGCCCAAGTGGAGCAGGAGTTAAGAACAGGGACGAGGGGCTGGGATTGTGGCTTGGCGGTAGAGCACTTGCCTAGCAAGTTCAAGGCCCTGGGTTCGATCCTCAGCACCATATAAAAATAAATAAAATAAAGATACTGTGTCCAACTGCAACTAAAAAATAGTTTTAAGAAAAGGGAAAAGGGAAAAGGATTTGAATGGACATTTCTCCAAAAGTGATGCACAAGTGGCTGATAAGCACAGAAGGAGCTCTATACCATCAGTCATTGAGCAAAGCTAGTCAAATGAGAGACCAATCACAATCAAATAAATGAAATAAACATTGGTGAGAATGTGGAGAAACCAGCATGCTCACTCCGGGTAGGAATGGAGAATGGCAGAATGCTACGGAAAACAGACAGAGCTCAAAAAGTTAGACACAGACATAGCAACCCCCCTTCTAGGTGTACACCAGAGAAAACAGAAGACCTGTCCACATAACAACTCCATGAGTGTTCACAGACACAGCATTATCCACGAGCCAAAAGTGAAGTGATGTCCATCAATTGGTAAATGAATAAACAAAATGAGGTGTTCTCATGTAGTGAAACAGTTTAGCATAAAAAGAAATGAAGTACTTTCATACTACAGCACAGACAAACCAGAGGGTGAGAAGCCAGTCCCGAGAGGCCACATATTACATAATTTCATTTATATGGAATGTCCAGAATGGGCAAATCCACAAGACCAAAGTGAATTGGTGGGTTTCTGGGGGCTGGGGAGAGGACTAGGATATGACTGCTAAGGAGTGTGAGGTTTCTTTTTTGGGTGATAAAATGTTCTGGAATTAGTGGTGATGACTGCCCAATTCTGTGAATGAACCACCCCTTATACACTGCTTGGGGTATGACTTAGTGGTGGAGCATTTGCCTGGCACATGTGAGGCCCTGGGTTTGATCCCCAGCACTGCAGAAATTCATTCATTCATTCATTCATTCATTCATTCATTCAAATTCTGGACTTTTTGGCCTATGAACTGCATCTTTTAAAAATCTTGGCTCTACCACTTCCTAGCTATTTGAATTTGGGCAAAGTATTTACTCTTTTTGAGCTCCACTTTCCTCATCTATACAATGGAGACAACAAATAAAACTTATTAGGGCTGTGAGAGGATCAAATGAATTTATATATATATATATATGTAATGCGATTAGAATAATATCTGGCACACAGTCAATGCTCAATGAATTTTACCTATTATATTTTAAGTTGAAAAAGCAAAATAGCAACAAAATATTCAAATTTGTCTATTTTTAAAAATGTTGACATTTCTTGACAGACAAGTCTAAGTCGTATCACTTTTTTGCTTTGTGATCTTGGTCACATTTGTATCCTCTTTCGGCATTTTTTTCCACACTGCTAGTTACTGTAGTAGTGACTATCTCAGGGGACAGTCACAGCAAAATAAAATACACTATGCCTTTAAGACTTAGCATAGTGCCCAACACACAATAAGTGTTCATTAAATATTAATTGTCATCGTGACCGCAGGTAAGCCTCATAAGAACACCAGGATCTCTCTGAGTGGGTGTCCCTTTTTGTAAAGTAGGAAACTGGGGCTCAGTGCTCTCCTTCCACTATACACAGGTTCCTGAGTTTGAATCCCTAAGAAATCCAAACAAAAAATGCTCTGTCAATGTTGGAATTGCCCTTGGGAGATTTCCTGAACGTAGCACGTGAGTTAAAATCAGAACTACCCCAGTTCTTAGCCTGACATTGTCATAAAGCTAGGTGTTCTAGCCCATCTCTGACCCCCTTTTTAAATCACTCTGCCAGTCAGGTTGCTTACCTTTTTAGTGAGCAGATTTGCACTTTCTCTTGCTTCTGATATCCTCTTGACCAGTGGTGTGGCTTTCCTCAAGACCAGGGTGGGACGATGCTCTGTCAATGTGATACAGCAAAAGAATGATCACTGAAGCTTGCCGCCTCCGATGCAGAGCGTGGACTAGGTCTCAGCTTCCCTGTAAAGGGGATATGCCTGGGGATTCGGATCATTAAAGAGACTCTGGTGGATGCAGCTATAGTGAATGCGTTTTGTGTGTGACTTGCTTTTTAGCCAGATATACACCTGCAGGCCATGTGTTTATCCCTTTACTCATCTAATATCTGTCCATTCTTTCATCCATCCGTCCATCCAGAAAGTATTTATTGAATACCTATTATGTATGCACCAGGCACTTTCTGGGTGCCAGAAATAGATTATCTTCAAGGATCTCCCAGTTTAGTGAGGGGGAAAAAAGACATGTAAATAATCAATGTAACACTAACTCAGGTGTCATGATAGAATTCTCTACAGGATACTGTGTGGCCACAGAATAAAGAAGGACAGGTCTCAAGTCTTTAAAAAATGGTAGGCAGTGATTGGGGGATGTAGCTCAGTGGCAGAGAGCTTGCCTGGCAAGCACAAGGATCTGGGTTCAATCTCTAGTACTAGAATAAAATGAGAAGGGAAAAAAAAAAGTTAAATAGCAAGAGGAAGAAGAAAAAAGGTCCAACCTTGGCACAAAACTATGCTTTCTTGCACAGAAGGTGAACAGAGAATATCTCAAAGATAAGTAGAGAAACAATAGATCATCTCTAAATAGGTGATCAGAACAACTGCAGAGTTCTCAGCAATAGCAATGGAACTGGAAAAGAGTCGAGCAAAATGACCAAAGCACTGAGGGAGAGTTGGGGACGATAATGCATTCAGCCTTTGGGGAAGGGGTGGGGTTACATGGCTCTGAGGTCTTTGTTTGGTTCAGGAAAGGGGCTGGGCTAAGTCATTATTTTACTTTGAATAAAGTTAAATGCATGCTAGGATTTCACAGGCTCACAATAAAGCAACTTCCTCACCCTCAACACTACTGACCTCATGGGCCAGAGGGCTGTCTGTCGTGGGGAAGGTCCTGTCACTGGAGGATGGTCATCAGTATTCCTGACCTCTAATCACTAAATGCCAGTAGCACCTTGCCCCTGAGAGGCAGAAACCAAGACTATATCCAGACCCTGTTAAATTTTCCTTGGGGGGAACTGTCTCTGTTTGAAATCCACTGCAATGAAGAATGTAAACAGAATACAGAACTTTCAAAAAAAAAAAAAAAAAAAAAACAAAAAACAAAAAAAACAGAATAAAACGGAGTAAGAAAAATAGAATGAAAAAAATTAAGAATCTGGTTTAGGTTAAGATGAAATAAGCGCATTCCACTCTGTTCCTCAGTGAATGCAGCTAAAAGCCCTCCGCAGAACGCCCAGCCCGGCTGTCTGAGGACTCTGAAAAAGGCACAGTAGCAGGTAAACCGGAAGGAAATCCAGATGCAAACCTGGTTCCACAAGGATCTGTTTCTCCTTCATATCTCCCAGCTCAGAGGCATCTCAGGGCTGGAAGCGCAGGGCTCCTCTGCCCTCTTCTGCCCGCTGCCCTGCACACACACACACACACACACACACACACTCTCTCTCTCTCTCTCTCTCTCACACACACACACACACACAGCCTGGAGCTGTCCAACGCTGTGGTCCTGGAGCTGTTGTGATCCACTTCTGGCAGACCTCTCCTCCTGGAAGGCTGGGGATGGGGCCAGGACGGACGTATTTGTCTTTCTGGTGACCAGTGGCCTTCCTCATGCTCCCTAGGGGCTGCACCCTAAGATTTGGCCTGAGTTCAGTGTGGTTTAAAAAGACCCATTATGAACAAGTCACTTCTTTCACTCTGGAAATTACAAAGGCTTAAGGGGCTCTGTGCCAGGAATTGAGTTTATCATTATGCCACAAAATCCCAACAATCTAAAGGAAAAATTAGAAAAAAAAAAAGTAGAGTCTCAGGGACCTATGGGACACTATGAAAAGGTCCAGAGTTTGTGTCACCAGAGTCCCAAAGTGAAAGAAGAAAGAAAAAAAAATGAAAAATAATAGCTGAAAAAGTCCCCAATTGGGTAAAACACATAGATTTAAGAAACTCAGTAATGGGGCTGGGGCTGTAGCTCAGGGCAGAGTGCGCGTCGGGCCCACCTGAGGAACTGGGATGGATCCTCAGCGTCGCATAAAAATAAGCCAATAAAACAAAGGTATGCTGTCCGTCTACAACTTAAAAAGAAAAGAAAAAGAAACTCAGTAAGCCCCAAAGAAGCTGTGCTGTGATGTGAACAGGGTTTCATCCTGATCAGTCTGCTGAAAGACCATGCGGGTCCTGAGGACAGAGAGAGAGGGACATCGCTCCAAAGCGGACAAGAGCCGACGGCTGGATTTCTCATCAGGAACCTCAGGGACTGCAAGGCTGCGACCCACATCTCGGGGGGCGGGTGGGGAATGAGCTCAGGGCCTTGCTCATGCCAAGGTCCTCGTGCCAAGCCCCCAGCCGGACCAACAACTCCAAGTGCTAAGGGAAAAGAACTCTCAACCCTTAATTCCACATCCAGGAAAACATCTTCAAGAATGAAGGTGTAAAAAAGACATTTTCAGACGGAAGAAAAGTAAGGGATGGCAGGCCACGGTAAGAGGCCTATTTTAAATGAAATTCTCGTGGAAGTTTTATTTTCACACGGGAGGAAAATGAGAGCTCGGGAAAACCTGGGTCTTTAGGATTGAAGAAAAAGCAACAGAAACTGGAATTATCTGGCCACACAAAATAAATATGATTGACCATTTTCCTTGATCAGTGCTCACTGAACCAAAAAGACCACCATATCTTCTCATGAAGGCTGCTTGGTGCCAAGGCCCAGGCTAGAGCCACAAGGGTAGAGCAAACTGTGTTCAAAATGACCCAAGAAACTAGGCTTTGGGAGATAAGAACCAAGTCAAAAGCCACCATTTCTCTTTGTGGAAGTCCGCGTACCTCTCGTGGCACTCTGGGCTCGCAGGGTCTCTCCTGAATTCAGCCTGGCCATGGAGACTCTGTTGTTGGCTGAAGGTATGATAGAAGACTCCAGGAGAGAACAGAGAAAACGTCATTAGGAAACTGGTAGCAAGGGGAACAATGCGACTTCTTAGCTACTCCTCATCTTTCTCAGCAAGGAACACACAGAAGAGGACCATTCAGGCCCAGTTTGACAATCCAGGCGATCCTGGCAGAGAGAAGAGGCCTGGCGGAGAGCACTCGGGGTGGGGACGGGGCGAGTGGACTTCCAGACCCAGCTCCGAGACTGCCGATCTTGGGACAGTCCTTGAGCCTCTCTGTGGTGGGTGTTTCCATAGGATTCAGCCAGGTCACTCAGACGGAGCACTCGCTGGCTGGCAGAGGGGCTCCCAGGGCACTGACCCCTGGCCTAGCAGTCTTGCAACCTGCCTCCTTCCCTCAGCTTTTCTTTGAGCCACTGCTCACGAGCCTAGCACCAGGCAGTCACTGAAACCTCATCAATAAACCTCGTCCCTGCCCAGAATGTCTCCCAGTCTAGCAGCAGAGATTAGAGAAGGTCGAAAAGTACACTAAGCATAGAAGGTAGCCCATATTCCTTAGGGGAAATAAATTAGGATCATGTTTGGGACATGAGTGACAGAGACTCAGAATTATAATGGGTCAAACTAGGTAGAAATTGATCTCCTCCATAAAAGTCCTGGCCTCGAGTGGGACTTCTGCTGTGCTGACCCTCGGGGACTCTGACTTCTTCCAGCTCACTGCTCTATTTTTCCTAAGATGGGACTTTCATTCTCAGGGTCCAAGATGGCAGCTAGAGTGCCAGTTACCACTTTCCCACTGCAGGCAGCAGGATGTAAAGAACACAGAGATGAAGGGTTTATACAAGTTAGATTTTAAAGAAAGTTTTCCAGAAACTGCCACATGGTACCTCTGCCTACATCTCACTGAGGTGGTTACATGGCTATACGTGTATGTAGGAAGCACCATCTTTATTCTGGCCATGCACATGCCCAGTTAAAAGACAGAGATGCTCCTTGATAGATGAAGAGGACAGCAGATGTCGGGGAGCCATGGCTCCTCTGACACAGCGCTGAGAGGACCGTGGAGTCCGAGCGGGGGACTCTGGGCTGTGTGAGGGTGCTGGAGGGCTTCCAAGAGAGGAGACACTCGCTTTCTGTCCTTGAGGACGAGTAGGAGTTTGGTGGTGACTGACAGATGGCCCACCAAGTGGCGCACAAGCAGTCCACCAGGACTGACCACAGCGCTTTGGTGTTAAATAAATGTGGTATCTGAGTGGGCAGGAGAAAGTCACGCAGCTGC